CTTGACATCAATATCCTCCTTGACGTCACGGCACAATACACCATCTCTGATTTTCAGCTTCTCAAAATTCTTCAACATAGCCTGATGTCCAGGTAAACAAGGCAGATCCTCTCGACGTGGTTTATTTCCAGACTGTACAAGTGGCATCCAGTATCCCGTAAGTGGATCATTTATCTGTTCCTCATGTAATCCTAGAATAGGCTGGGTAACTGAAGCTGGCATAGTCAGAGGTACCTGTGCTGACATAGCAATGGTTTCTATGTATGGAGTAGTACTGATGCCCTTGCTGAGTGCCTGGATAACATCCTTGGAAATCTTCACTGGATCATCATCTGTGCTGAGTGAAGGATGTCGGGACATGCTGTCGGCATCAGCATTGTTGATACCAGGTCTGTACTGGATATCAAAGTCATAATTAGCCAAGGCTGCTATCCATCTCTGTGAAGTGGCATCAAGCTTAGCAGAAGACAACACATACGTCAAAGGATTGTTGTCTGTGATGACAGTAAAAGGGCAAGCGATGAGGTAGTCTGAGAACTTGTCCGTTACTGCCCATTTCAAAGCGAGGAACTCCATTTTGTGTGCTGGGTAACGTCTCTCAGCTTTAGTTAATCCTCGACTGGCATATGCTATCACACGCTTGACATTATCCTGATACTGGTATAGTATGGCCCCTAATCCCAATCCAGAGGCATCAGTGTGTAGAACAAAAGGTTTCGAAAAGTCGGGATAACTAACTATGGGTGGTCCGGTGAGACATGTCTTGAGCTCCTGAAAGGCGTCTTCTTGGTCCTCTTCCCATATCCATGGATGTAGATCCTGGTCCTGACTCTTACACTTCCGTCCTTTCTTCTTTTCAGGTGGTGTCATAATGTTGGTAAGAGGCCGGGCTATGCGGGAGAAATTCTTGATAAAGCGACGATAGTATCCAACAAATCCTAAGAACTTTCTCACTTCATCTGAATTCTCAGGACGTGGCCATGTTGTCACTTTCTCAATCTTCTCGGGATCCGGCTCTATTCCATGTTCTGAAACAATATGTCCCACATATTTTACCTTGCGACGGAATAAAGAACACTTGTCTGGTGCAAGTTTCATACCACAATCCTCTAAGCGTTTAAAAATCACTTCCAGGCGTTGTAGGTGCTCCTCAAAAGTTCCTGAGAAAATGATCACATCATCGATGTAAACAAAGCAAATCTTTGTATGCAGTCCCTGCAATGCCTCTTCCATCAGCCGTTGATATGTTGCAGGGGCATTCGCCAATCCAAAGGGCATACGGGTGTACTCATAGAACCCTAACGGTCCTACAGTAAAGGCTGTACGGTCCTTATGTTCTGGATACAGTTCTACCTGGTGATATCCAGACTTCATATCCACAACTGAGAAGAATTTATTACCAGCAAGCGAGTCCAATGTCTCATCTATGCGTGGTAAGGCATAAGCGTCTTTTACAGTCCTCTCATTTAACTGACGATAGTCAACACAAAGGCGGAGCTTTCCATTCTTCTTTCGAACAAGTACAACGTTTGATGACCATGGGGAATGTGAGCGACGTATGACTCCAGCAGCAAGTAACTGATGAAGATGTGTCCTTACTTCATCAAACATTGACGGCGGAATGCGTCGACATCTCTGTTTGAAGGGTATTTCATTAATAAGTTCAATCCTGTGGGTCACTAATGATGCATGTCCTATATCTGTATCACCAGTAGAGAAGATATGGCGATGTTGCTCTAAGAATTTCCTCCCTTTAGAAATCTCATCTTCTGACAATCCCTCTGTGCAAAGCTCTACCTTCTCCAGTACATCCACTGAAGAATTTACATCTATCTCCTTGGTGATATCCTCCACTGTAATAGGCTGCATCTCACAGAGAAGAGCTCGGGGTTGTATAGTCACTGTGGATGTGGATAAGTTTGTGACGTGGACCTTGACAATTCCCTTCCTATCGTAATGGTAAGGAATCAGAGATGGGGTTATATCCAAATCATCTGGTATACAGGAGCCTGGAGTTGGTTGGAGAAGAGCACAAACTGTAGGGTATGCTAAATTCTTCCTTGTAAACCCATCTATGGTGACCTCAGAGTTAGAAGGTATGATAACCGGTTTGTCTTCAGCACTTCTTACAACAGCTAGACGATGGTTGTTTTTCTCCAACTCCTTGTCTCGCAATGTCATACATCTAAAGGCTAAGTATAACGGTGTTGTAAGTCTTGCTTTCTGTAGGAATGTCTGTCCATATTCATCCCTAACTCGGTGCAGCATCACATTCAAAATGTTGGTACCAAGAAGAATAGGCACTGACAAATTATAGGGGCTATCAGGAACCACTAAAAATACACCTCTATCAACATAGTTGTCCTCACCATGAAGCCTGTTCCATCAAAAGTAATGGGAGCTTCTACAATTCCTTCATATGGAAGATCCTGGCCATCTGCACACTCTATCTTAAGAATGGTGTCCAATGATTTAATCTCTCTTTGACTCAGGTACTGATTTTAAAATCTCATAGACACTGTAGACACTGTAGATCCAGAATCAAGAAGAGATCTGACTAAATGGCCTTCCATCCTAACAGAAACCTCTGTCGGTGGTCCAAGTAAATCTGGAGGCTGATGAGTGGTGTTATGGTTCCCTCGTATCTTCTGGCCTATCGTCTGCCCCTTGACGATGGCCTCTGTCCGTTTAAAGGTTTTCTCATATGATCAAGTCTTACCCTGCAGCCAAGGGCTATATGTCCGATTTGACCACATCTGTAACAAACGGGTTCTATCACCAGATGATGGTTGTTGGTAGTTCTGAGTAGATTGGCTGTCTCTCTGCCATCCATGGGACTGGTTAGGCTGTACGTTCTTCTGTTGATCCCACTCTTTCTGCCTTCTCGGGTACTGCTGACTGTCCTTCAGAACTTTCACATCTGCTGCGAGTTGTTTTACTATAGTTCTACTTTCCTTCATTCCCCCTTCCTCAGATGAAATGGTATCAACAGCTGCTTTGGATGTAGCTACAGACTTCTTGAAATCAGACTTATCAGGTTGTCGTTGATTATAATCCTCCTCAAAACGACGAATAGCTATCCGAAGCTCATCAAATTCCTTTATCCTGTCAACTATATGTGCTGTAATATCCTTCAAGGGAGCGCGAAGTCCCTGCCACAACATCGTACACAGCATGCTATTAGCCTGGGTTACATCCACTTGTCCTCCCTCTACAGCTTTATATAGTAGTGTCTCCAGTCTACAACTCCAGGATGATACACTCTCATCTACATCTTGTCGAGCACTGTAAAACTTAGCTAAGTACATCTCAGTCTTCACTACAGCACCATAAATACTGTCCATCTTTGTTAAAACATGTCCAGTGGTGACGGATGCTGGCAATATAGACCTCACTCTTAGTGCCTCTCCCTTCAAAGAGCTTCGGATGGCTTGAGCCACTGCATGTTCTGGATGTCCTTCCTTGATAATGCACTCCACCTCCTTTCTCCACACCTCATAAGGAACATCCTTCTTGTCTTTATCTCCTGAAAAGTGTGATATCTTGGGGAAATGTTGAATAGCAGATGTGGTGTACTGTGTATGAAGTTGAGTCTTGATACCAGCCTTGCTATCCTCATTTTCCTCATCCTGTTGTTCCTCTGATGACTGAACATGATCCTTCATCCAAGTCTGGAAATCTTCTAGAGTATCAAGTTTGGGCTTAATCTTCATCGTCTTGAAATGTGCAAGCAACATATTCGCCTCATCCTGAGTCATCTCCAAGTCCGACATGATGAATGAAGTTACACACAATGCACAGAAATAAACAATGAGCATTAATAATTACAAGTATGATGATACTAATAGCAGAAGTAAGAAAAAATAAACAAATTTGATGCTGAAAAGTAAAAGTTCAAATCTAAAAATTAACAAACATTCAATGCAATGACTCTATACTAATACACATGTAAACAGAAAAGCCCAAAAACAAATACAATGACACAAACAACAGACAAACACACAATAAAGGAAATATAAAATATATCCAGGCAAACCGCAGTAATATCACAGCTACATTATCACAGTATCATATGACACAGGCAAATACCAAATAAAATTAAGAAAAAACACAACTGAATAAGTTCAATAAATCAACAGATTCAACCAAATCACAATTAAGTAAACCTGCTCAGAAAATATCACAAATGCACAAAAACTGTCAAACTAAGTCACAGTCATGTCAAATGTCACTAAGAAGACACAGAGTTAGTATTGTGCAAGGTTTAAATGTAAAAGGAGAAATATATATATATATATATATATCGGAGAAAAAAAATCAAAAAAATATTTAACGTATATCAGAAAAAAAAATCTATGCAAAAAAAATATGAAAAAAAAATCAAAAAAATCCACCTATGGTTTATTTTTTATGAATGTATTCACATATCAATAAAGTTAACCAAAGAATCAATGTACAGACAAAAAACGAAACAAACCTACAACCTCATTATCATAAATAAATAGGACATGCTAATTCAACATTTCATCTTATACTCATGCATGGTATATATAGTCACCTACAAATATTTCACACGTAAAGGTGACAAAATTACAGAATACAAAAGAAAATAATGTTGTTGTTTTATGAAAGTCAATGTCTTTAATTCCGGAATATCCCTAGAAGATAATGGTACAGTCAGTTCATAAATACCTGGTCTTTTCTGCCGAGAATATTACACTTTTTTTGAAACATGGGCGGCGCCATCTTGGGAAAGTCAGTATCCGTAAAATGATTGGACTCAGCGAACACAAACACACTGAAGAAATATATCTCCATCACAGGAGCGCTTGAAACAAGCGACCTTGACCGGGTCGGTCACAACCGGAAGCACACATACGTGGTCACGTTCTGCGCATGTTAAAGGCACAGGTTCTGGTACAAACAATATCTGCGCTGATTTCCTCACTGGAGGCTCCAATGTAGCGGGGTGGTTTTACAAATAACCAAGAGTTCTTTGAGATTTATGTTTATTCCATTTCCACAGCACAGATATAACATGGTTCAATATCCTAGTGTATAGGTAGATACATATACATTACACTCTGTAAACAAACACAAAAGACTACATTTAGCACAACGAATCACAAGTACAATACATATACTAAAGGGACATAACTCTTACAAACTAATTACTGTACTGCCTACTAATTCATACCGTTACAATTACACAGCATACATGGCAATTACTTTACAATAATTTTACAATTATTGTTTCTCAATTATATATCATTACAAATAGTTACATAGTAATCTAATGACCAATTAATCCAAAAGAAATAAGAAAGAAAATGATAAACCTAACTTTAACAACTAAAGTTAGAATATAACTTTCATGGAAATATAAATTACTTAAAATGTACATATCACGCACCTGTGTATGGCACAGAGCCAGGAATTAGGAAACCGATGCCATCAAAAGAGCGAAGCACTTAGTACTGAATTATTCGATCTATAAATAAAATAAAACCATTCTCTTAAAACTGGTAAATGTCAATATACAGATATATATACTTTAGTAAACATTATTGTTCTTCCTAGTGTAATGATAGTCATGAGGATTCAAACATGAAATACACTAAATATAAGAAATACATATTACTTGGTCAATTCTTTAAACCTCACATAATTATAAATAAATTCCATTTAACAATTATTTAGAAACTACCAATTTATTTAAATTAACTAGAATCCTAGTCAAATTAGCTTTAACTTTGAAGAAATTATCAATATTAGATAATAGAGAAAACTTACTGTCAAAAGATGTATGTGTCGGTGTCCAAATCAACATGTCTGCTCTCTTACAAAATCTTTCACAAAACTGACACAATGAAATCCCGCCAAAAGTGACCAATACAAGACTGACCAATAGAAACAGAAATCTATACAAAATATCTGACCAATGAAAATAGACTATAAACAATAACATACTGGACCTTACATAACCACTCCATAGGATACTATACAGGCAAAGACAGGTAGACATCACAGGTAAGGATCACACCACAGGACATGTACGTCATAATATCAACACATATAAATAACATACTGGGCACAACATAGAATTACACAGAGTATTTAATTAATATAAAATACAATAAAATATGACTGCTACATAAACAGATTATGATTATACTGCATACTATCTGCAATGTCACATACTAATTACAACAGGTTTATATGTGCTTTTAATACACAATATACATCTTAAGTTAAATTAAATGATATATTGCCATGTATATTGAAAGGTGCATGCAGGACTTCGGAACTACTCTGGAGAAGGTATTATTTAACCATCCTGTTCATGGGGTATCCTCTGTATGTACCAAACTATTTTTTTCACACTATCAGATAACACGTTATATATGCAATATTAGTGTTAGTTTATTATTATAATATATTATATTATCATAATATACCTGTGCCAGGCCGAAGTGGGCTTGTACCGTGTGTTTTGCTTTTTTATCCGGATATTGTCAGCCATCTTGGATTTTGAAATTTTCCAATACCAAAGCCAATTTATTGTCAAAGTATATAATATCAAAAATCTGAATTTTCTTTCAACTAACCGATATATTCTCGTTCTTCATTTTTGGCGAAAAAGGTGAAAAATAGGCCAAATTTAAAAATGGCCTCAATTTTTTTCCCCGAAGGGAATCTTTCCGGACATTTTTTTCTTTCATACTAGAGACATTGATGAGTTGAAATCAGAAGAGTTTGATAACATAGTATTTTTTCCCTAGATCACCCTGAAACGGACCTATTCCACCGACCTAAATTGACTTTGCCGAGAGTTACCCGTACTTCTGACTATAACAACATTAGCATGGTCATCTTCGAGGTAGAGTTTGATGTAGCATCATCGGTAAACAGTTCGGTACTTCTTGTATACTCTTAATACAGCTTGACAAAGGGACCAGTCGGTCTAATAATAATAATAATGATAATAATAATAATTCAAGGTTCTTATATACCGCTCTATCACAACCTAGTTCGCAGTTCGTCTCAAAGTGGTTCACAAATTATTATCCGTGGTTATATGGCCTTTGCAACCAGCCAATATCTTTCTCAACTCCCTGAGGAGCGTACAGCCGGTGCTGCCATTTCGGCGCTCACAGCTAGCATTCAACAATTCTAGCACTGCCCAACCACGTACTCACTTACAGCTGAGTAGACTGGAACAAGAGCGGTAAAGTATCTTGCTCCAAAACACAGTGCTGTGCCGCGACTCGAACCCGCAACCCTTCGGTCACGAGCCAGCGTCCTACCACTAGACTAGGGCGCCTCCTCTTGAAACGTTGACCCAAGTTTTATTCCGTCTTTGCATATTGCAGAGGTATCTTCTCTGTTTGTGTGAGAAAATTACGCCGTTTTCTCAAAAATTGATGACGTAACTCTCACAAACCAATGACATAACAATCAATACCTGCTCACAAGAGCAGATAACTCTGCAATACGCAAATACGGAATACGTATATTGCGTGTGTATAAAGTAAACTGTGACGTTATACTCATACTTGCTTCAGACGATATAAATGATTTATGACAACGTCAGGAACACTGGGTTGTTCACTTTTGGAATATTTAAACAAACCGCAAGTCTTGTCGCAAACCGTCATAAAGGTTATTTTCTTAAAATGAAGAAAATGGGTTTTTTATCAGAAATGAAAAACCATAGATGTTATCGCACATTTCTGTGATGAATAATGACTTGTTCCATCAGTCAAACGTTCTAAACGCTTTTTACTTGTTGTTGAAATAATATTTTTCAAACATTAATACTACTGTTGACTTTCTTCGTTCATTTAATGTTACTCAAACAAACGCTTTTATTAATTTTAGCAAAACACTGAGTTGTAGAACAGTTGTTTGAATTTATTTCATATTTTTGCCACCAGTTCCCAACTCTTCATAACACGCCTTCGTAAAATATAAACTCATTAGTTTAGGCACCATGTAGAAGAAACATTATCTGGTTATTGACCGTAGATGAAATAAACGCAATTCCCAATGGTATGGCTTCTGAAATGACTCAAACTATCTTTGAAATCAGATATGTATCAAATAATGACTGAATCACACACAGAACTATTAAGATTAAGATGTAGGCGCTCTAATATCATTTCACATGCAACAGTTATAATCACCTGTAGGGTTGAGAAACGTGCAGTTAGGTAATGAAATAGTGATGCCTTGTCGACTTCACGTAATGTGCATAAAACAGAACTGTTCGTTACCTTCAGGAATCGGTTTTCTCATTATAATCCTCGTAACACTTATTCCACTGAATGTAATTGCTGTTCGTGTATTAAACGCATTAAGGCAGACAGAAGTGGGAAAAAAAAAAACATTATTGTGATTTCGCTTTTACTGCACTTAATGATTTAAGTCTTGTACAGCTGTACAACGGCATTTTCAAATACACATACAACTTGTGTACATGTATATAGAAAACCATTCGGGGAGATGTACATGGAAACACATGTGGAATTACAAGGAACAAAGACTCGTATTCATGAAGCCGTTCTCATGCTCAAGCATGGATTTTGAGCTCAAGCCTAATTTCTTGTTCTGGTTATAACTCGATAAATAAATTATATTTTGTCAATGATTTGGAAACATAGTGAAGAAACTTATAGCCAAATACTGTTTTCAGTGTTTACATTTGACTTTTTGATCGTTTGACATGATCTAAGCGAGTTACCAGAAAGTTGGTTTGAGCACAGATTTCATGCTTGAGCATGAGAACGGTTTCATGAATACGAGTCCAGGACCCGTATTCATGAAACCGTTCTGTGCTCAAACCAACTTTCTCGTAACTCACCTTAATCATGTCGACGATCAAAAAGTTAATCCATGTCTCATATATTCTTAAATGTATCTTTCATGTATCTTCATACTTAAAACCTGCCGAATCTCATGATGAAAGCTCATTACAAAACGGATAAAGACAACAGGAACTAAGAAGACATTTTAACACACGACAATATGTCACGAATACATATTAGAGAGGAAAAGTGATAAGTGTCTCGATGACTACGTGTATTGAACGGCTTTGTTGAATTAAGAACTAACGTTATAATGATATAGAGTGTTATTTGCTGTATAAGTCATCTATTATCTGACACGCTCTTGATTCTATGACACAAAATCACATGGGAATAACTAACCGCATCATTATTCTGTTACGAACCTAAAAGCGAATAATAAACCAACTCAATAATAGACGTTTCCAAGGACACGTAAGTCAAGACAACCGCTCGCGAAGGCAAAAACAGCAGTTCACCTTTTTATACCAAAGAGAACTCGACAAAACATTTTTGTTATCTATAGATTAAACGGGGTATATTTCAAATCAAATAGAGATGTATTTTAATTGTTACATAGACATCTATTTATGTATAAAGAATATCTTTGAATAAAAATATATTTTAAGGCAGTGGGGAGACTTTGAAATGAAACATACATATCTAACATATTTATATTAAAGCCTTATATGTAATCATCATTTGATGCGTTGAGAACTGTTTGTATGTAAAAAGTTTCATTAAACATGCTTACAGTAAAAAGATGATAATATATAGTTTGTATTGAGATAAACATATACTATTTTTAGAAATATTTATGTCTGTAAGTAAAATATCTCTTCGAGGTTCAACCTGTGGTTTCAGTATAGTTGGATTATGACGAAGTTGACAGCGGTGACAGTGCGATGTTAAGAAAGTTCAGTAAAAATTCTCAGTACAAAATCAACCATTGATAAGGAGTTGTGTCAATCACTAAAATACAGTAACTTATCAACAGTCATGCTCTCTATAATCTATCGGAACATGCGATGTAGTATTGAGACCAAAACCCTCGATAAAGCACACGCGTCCCCGGTCGATGCATTAAAGTCTCTCTTTTACAGATATTGCAGAGATTTCAGTATGTGTCTACGGATATCGTCGTCCACTGAACAATCCTTCGTCGTCTACAGGTCGAATTGTTCTGATGGAAGAATAATACATGCCTAAATATAGGTCTCTGTCCATATTAGTATTTACTTTGATGAATGATACAAAGTCACTTTGGTCATTGATAATGTGTACTTGATACGATTGGTTGGAAATCCCGGCGGCGCCGCCGCTACCTCGTCAAACGTTATTGATTAGCAGGTTTTGTGTAGCCATGGCATCCTACCAGATTATTCAGCCCAACAGTGCGTTCTGCTAACACCATTGTTGACACCCGACATATTGGCAAGATGAAAACGTTATAAGTTATCATTTCTTTCTGATGATTTTGTCAGTTATGATGTTCCATGGGTGAAGTTCATCTACAACAACAGAAATATTAAAATATATTTTTTGTGGCAAATTACTAAGAATGTTTACGGCGATTTCAGAGAATTTATTATAACTCAAATAAACAAGCAAATGGAAAGTACAGAAACCAATTAATTAAGAATAACTGCGTTCCGTGTTTGTTTGTGTGTGTTTTAACACAACCTTTTTTAATCGTATCTTCTAGGGTAAACCGGGCCCTGCGGCACAGACACCTATCGGTTCAGTGTACAAACATGTTGTTAAAGTCTTGCATTTATCTTTACATTGGAGGTATACCGTACGTTTTCTGCTCTGTCGAAATACGGATTTCGATTGTGTGTACGCTATTTAAAAGTTTTGCTATTTTGAGGATTTCAATTGCATTTTTCATGTCCCGTTTTACCAATTTTTCAGTTAAGAGGCAAGTGAAAGAGTCGGTCGTTATGTAGGTAGTCAGGATATGGATAGTCTACCCTGGTCTGCAGAACTGGCTATAAAAACCTCAGCAAAGCGTCGGTTCGGACTTCTGTTCC